TATGTCACTATCATGGTTGTTCAACTCCACTTCTTTGCAGTGCAGTTAACAACTTACCAATGGGATACCCTGTGCTGCAACAGCCTCCAATTCCAGCTACAGGGCAACCTCATCTTGACTCCATGGGTATATCAAACTGTCATGTGGTCAATGGAGTCCCTGCACCCAGCAATTTTCAACCTATGCGAATGAATTCGGGGAACGAGTGAGCACTTAGCCATCTTTGTTTTAATCTATTATTACTTGCCTATTAGACTTACAGATACTTACTTACCGGTAATTTTGAAGGTGCCTTTCTTCTTTATTTTCCTGATCACATCCTATATTTCTATCAAAATAGCTTGCCTAATTAACAATTTGATTACTTGCAATGTAATTATGTGTTGCTTTGTTTCACCTTTTTTGGTTGAAATGTTAAGGAACTGCTTGATCACATTTGCAACACATCAATGATTGTGTTAAGGTTATATCACTCTATTGCACACCACCTATGTTCAATTAAACCATATTCCTAAACTGTTTTAGGTTAGCTAAATGAATAATTTGTACTAACACCTTTCTTAAAGAATGTTTAGACATAAAGTACTCGTCACATTTTCTTTAGCTTTACTCCTCTTCCTAATGCATTACTTTTGGCTTTCAAAATTTTTTATTTCTGGTTAAGTATTTTGTTCCAGAGAAGTTAAGCTAATGGTAACTGGTTTTCTTCTTATTGTAGCATGGTGATGGAAAACAATGCCACTAATGTAACACCTGCAGTTCCTCCAACCACTACCATGTCATCTGTGTCAGAGATGCCTGTGAGTCCTACATCAGTGGCGTCCAGCGGGAATTTCCCCTTCACTGCATCAGACATGTCAGGGATGGGAGTAGACACTTCAGCACTTGATTCAGCCTTCACAACCGATGTCGCAAGTTCAGTAGGATTGCAGCTGGGACCTGATAATGGAGCTGGGAATTCTAGAGATTCCCTTAGATCACTTGATCAGATTCAGTGGAATTTTAGCCTCACAGATCTGACAGCAGACTTGTCAAACTTGGGAGGTAAGTTGTGGCTATGAGAACCACTCTAAGATATTCAGTTAAAATTTTATTGAAGTTGTTTGTCATCCCTATCTCTCACACACACATCTCAAGACTCATGCTTTTGTATTTGCTTTTCGAATTTCGCACTTAATTATTTATGCATTGCTTCATTGTTGGCCTTGGAAACCCTTATTCCCGGAACCTTGCATATTTAGTACTTGATTGTTCTTTTTAATTGCTATTCTTTATGGAGCTTGTTCTCATAAAATGTGGCCGTTGGAATTGATACAGATTTAGGAGCGCTTGGGAACTATTCTGGTTCTCCTTTTCTTCCCTCTGATTCAGAAATTTTGCTTGATTCTCCAGAGCAAGAGGATATAGGTAATGGGGTTGCATAGTGCTATTTACCTTGATGCCTGTTAGAATCATTAGAGGATGTTGAGTAGCTTAGAATGTTATTTTCAAAAAAAAATGAAAAGAAAAAAGAGTAGCTTAGAAAGTTAGAAAACATGGTGATACCTGTTCTATCTATTAACAGATATGGGATGCTTTATGATTGGCATCAAATATGATTTTACCAGACCTTTGATGCCATTCATTATGGTTGAGTTTATATCCACGTGTAATTAAAATCTCACAGTAGGGCTTGTGAATTATAGTACTAAGTGGGCAAATGGCATCAATGTGACATTTTGGAATACTCAGCTTGTTGATATTTCCGCCATTCAATTATACTCTATATGCCTTGTGTTTTTGACCGTACACTGATAGATCTATCTTGTTTTCAGTGGAGGAATTTTTTGTTGATTCTGTCCCTGGGCAGCCATGCTCTCAGTCTGATGAGGAGAAATCATAGATCAAGGTGAGTATTGTACCTTACCTTCTTAAAATTGTTAGGATGGGATAGAGTTAGATCAATAAGAACAGCATTTGACCTCTATTCAGTAGGCATTTTGAATTGTTAGCAAATTTGAACATTTTAGCAGCGTAATTTTAGTTTAAGCTTGATCAATCAATAGCAGTAAGCAAACAGGAAAGCAGCCAAGTTCTCCTTAGTTGTAAGTTTTCAGATTGTTGATATGAGACTTTGGTTTTATTTGGAGAACCTGAGGACCATTTGTTGGTAATCTTTTGTTTTCTAACGACGAGGGAATCATTGCAATCTTTTCCCCATCCCACCTGAACTCTTTGATGAGGCAATCAATTGAGCTCATTCTGAAAACGGAATAAATTCTGTTATTGATGGTTGAAAGCTGAGACAACTTTACACTGTTCTATGAGTTTACATGAGAATAAAAGAAATACAGGAACCGACTCAGCAAAGCTCTGATGTTCGTTCTCTCTTTTCTAATGGGAAATATTGTTTAAAATAATTTGCTAGCTTCAGGACACGTCTCGTCTTTAATACCTGATGGACCATGCACTGGAAGTGAATCTCACATGTGGATGTGGTATCTGTGTGACAGTTGATTTACCATAATATCCTACTGACTCGGCATATGGGATTACATCATCAAACCAAACTTCATTGGAGACTTTGTATGATCAGATTGCCTAGTTTTGAAAGTCGAGTCAAATTTCATCTAGCAGGTCAATAGCCTTGCTTGTGGTTAGTTTCTGAAACGTTGAATGTCCTGACCATAAAATTATCAACCAGGGAGATATTCCTCATCGTGACGGGGCCTTTTTTCTCTAAATTGTTTGAAACGGGTTTCCAATGATCATGTTTTTCAGCATCCAAGTTCTCATTTATCAAATTGGAATACTTTGAAAACAGTACATTTAAACGGTGAATGTTCAACGTTTTGATCTGTTAAGTTCAAAACTTTCTAGTGCATTAATTGATAGATTTTTCTACAGTTGACAAGGTCATAAGAAATTTGTCCTAAATTTGAATGCCAATCTTCTGCATGATTTGCTAACATGATGCCATAGGTACGTTCTCGATGATGCAACCAAATAATGGCAATGCTTGGGCACATATAATAGAATTAAATATTACAGTATATACATATTATATAAAAATACAATGCAAATATAGTCTAAATATACAATTATCTAACATACCTTTGACCACAGAATCCAACCCTCATCGACCGGCCTAAACCTAATTACCACTTGTAGCATTCTTTTTATAAAAATATATAGGAAATTAAATAAAAACTCAAAGGTGGCATTAATAAAAATGTACAACTGCAA